AGGTATTTTTGTTATTGTTGCTGCTGCTGCTGCTTCTTCGTGGCGAAGTGTCGCCCGGATTTTCGTTTCCTTCGTTCAGACGCTGCACGTTCCGAGAGGGGGAGAGAAAGGTACACCAACCTGATGCCTTTCTGAACATCAGCCCATCTCTTTCCACTGCTTGTAGAACTCCAGAACATTTTTTATTTCTACACTGGCGCTGGCGGCTGCCTGGAGGGCAGACTGCAAGCAAGCAGAGACAAAACAGGTTATTTCCTTTTCTTGCCCTGTCGAGGAGGCCGCCCTTCACCACACCTGGAGATTCTCAAGCAAGAGTTTTTTCACGGCTAAAAGGCCCAATTCTCCTTCATGCTAAAGTTGCTCCGGCACGACAGGCCTGCCCGGACGTGCAAATCGCTTCTCCCACCTCCCCGCAGGATACTTTGCGCCACAAAAGCGTGACAAATCAAGGGGCCTTCAAGGAAACAGGAATCATGACTTATACAGTAAATTTGGGAAATCCAGGACAGCTATTACCCAAGGCAGAAAACACTTTTTAAAAAAAAAAAATACAAATCTCTTGCCAATCAGCCAGATTTTCATCTTGCCAGGCAGCAGAAAGGCTCAGCTCAGCCAGCCGAGGAGCTACGAACCTGCATGGGCGCCGAGAACGCGCTTGGGTCCTCCAGCTGAAAGCCCGTGATGATGGTGACCATCCCCGTGGTGTCGTCCTCTCCGCTCCCTTGGGACACTGTCAGTTGTCTGCAGCTGTCCAGTATCTTATAGAGATTCCTGCCAGGCAGACGCGAGGGAAACAGACGGGAAAGTCAGCGGGAAGGCCCCGTGGTTGTGCAAAGGGGTTTCGCACGCGCTCAGGAGGCCACGTGGAAAGGTGGGTTGTTCCCCTGCTGCCCGCTGAGGGCTTTTCCGAGACCCTTCTTGGCACTGAGCGTTACATGAGAGGCACAGATGGACGCCCTGACACCCTCTCCAGGGAGTTTTCTCATCAGCGACACAGAGCACCGAACGGAGCGAGCTGCGGGATGGGTCCCACCGCCAGCGCCTCTCCCCAAAGCCACCTGCCTGCCGGGAATCGCGCTCGGACATCTCCAGACGCTGTCATCTTACCAAGCATCTAAATCTTGTCTCTTCAATTTATGCCTCTCGAAGCTCTTCCCAACGTCTTTCTGGCAACGAATGTACCTAAGGAAAGGCGAGAGTCGCGGGGCTCACACGGAGGCCGTCGCACGGACTCTACAGCGGGTCCCACCGGACCCTTTCGCGCCGTTTCTCAAGCAAAATAACACCCCCAGGAATCCCCTGTGAAATCCCTTCCAGCGCCTCCCCTGTCTCGCCACCGTTGCTTGGGGGCAGGTCACAAAACCACCCGTGTTTCAAAGCCCCACCAGGCCTTGACGACGCGGTTCGTCTTCACAGGACCACCTGCAGCTCACCCGGGCAATAACGCAGCACAGCTCTCCCAGCACTCCCAGCACTCCCAGTGCATCAGCAGAAGGTACCACTCGGTTTTATACGCTGATCAAGAGCTGCAACTCCCTCCGTTCCTCAGAAGCAGCTACGTTTCACAGCCGAGCAGCAACTACAGCCGAAGAACCAGCTGCCAAACCCAGTACCTCACCATCCCTCGCGCCAAACGCTTTCCCTCGGCCCACTCCTCACCCTGCTCCAAGGGGTGCCCAACCTGCTCCCACCATTGACATTTTCCTTCACCCCCAAAACAGGCCCATCCCAAAAGCAAAGGCAAAGCGCTCTCACCTGTTTCCCTTTTTAAATTCCGCCTCCAGATATCGGATGCTGTCCCGGGCACCTGCGTTCTCCTTTTTCAGGAAGTCTAAGCCATCAATCACTAACAGGGAAAAAAAAAAGAAGAAAAGAAGCAAAACCATCTGGCTTGCAGCTCTACTTCCGCAAGCTAATCCAGATGTGTCAGGAATTCCTCATCCCCCGTCTCTGATGCGCGGCAGCAGCGGCCGCCGAG